GGGAGTGACACTATTTTTACTGTGACAGCCACTGCATGCTTCCCCACACATCACCCTTCTGTTCAATGCAGAGATGGTTTTTAGTTGCTCTGTGTGAAGAAACTTATTGTTAGCATTTCTTGGGGAGATAAGAAGTTGTACAGGTCTCCCTTGGTCACCGGAAGAGTATAGAATCAAAGCATTTTTGTTTTGTGTCTAGAAGTTAGTCATCTTCCAGGTGAAGGTCTGTGCCCTTTGGCCAAGAGCTCCCCAGTTCCTACCTCCCCCACCCCACCCACCCTGGTAACCATGGTTTTGTTCTTCTCTCTGTTACTATGAGTTCCACTGGTTTAGATTCCATATGTGAGATTCCACAGTGTTTGCTTTTTGGGGTCTGACTTATGTCACTTAGTATAATGTCCTCCAGGTTTATCCATGTTGTCACAAACGGCAGGATTTCCTTCCTTTTTATGGCTGAGTTTATACACACACACACACACACACACACACCACATCACATCACATTTGCTGTATTCATTTTTCCATCATGAGCACACAGGTTGTTTCAATGTCTTGACCATTATAAATAATGCTTCAATGAATATGAATGTGCAGTTATATTTGGGGGGTACTGATTTTATTTCCTTTGTATGTACATCTAGAAGTGGAATTGCTGAATCATATGGTAATTCTTTTTTATAGCATTATTTTTTATTTTAATTGTTGTTCAAGTACAGTTTTCTGCCTTTTACCCCATCCCAGCCCACCCCGACAGCCCTCCCCACCTCCCTCCTGTTTCCATTCCCCTGTTATTGTCCATGTGCCCTTTATACTTGTTCCTGAAAACCCTCCCCCTTTTTGCCTGAAACTTCCTCCCCTCTCCCCTCTGGTCACTGTCAGCCTGTTCTCAATTTCAGTGTCTTTGGTTATATTTTGCTTGTTTGTTTTGTTGTTTAGGTTCCTGTTAAAGGTGAGACCATATGGTATTTGTCTTTCACTGCCTGGCTTATTTTGCTTAGCATGATGCTTTCCAGTTCCATCCATGCTGCCGCAAAGGGTAGGAGCTCCTTCTGCTGGAGAGAATTCCATTGTGTAAATGTAGATGTGGTAATTCTTTTGTTAACTTTTTGAGGAGCCTCCATACTGTCTTCCACAGTGGCTGTAACAATTTACAGTCCCACGATCACTGTATAGAGTTTTTTCCATTTTCAACCTTTATTTTAAAAGTGTTCATTCACTTCCTTTCCCCATCTTTTAAATATTTATGTTTTGTTATTGATGAGTTCCTTACATATCCTGCAGATATTAGATGGTAAGCATTATCAGGCATAACTTTACGTACATAAATTCAACAACTTTTTCCCAGGTTCACCAAAGCCAGCAGCAACCTGAAGATGATGGAGTCAACCCCAAGCCCTAAGCATTGTGCAAATAACTAGAAGAAGAAAAGAAAGAAACTTTGCATGAGGCTTAGATGCTGTCAACCAGAGTTCTCAACTGGACATGCTTTTGTCCCCAGGACGTAATTGGCCATGTCTAGAGACACTTCTGGCTGTGTCCAGAATGGTGATGGTGGGTAGAGGCCAAGGATGGTACTAAACACCCTACAATGTGCAGGCATGACCTTCCTTTAAGACAGAATTACCCGCCAAATGTCGACAGGGTTGAGGCTGGAAAACTCCACTCCAGGCTTTGACACGTGAGAAGAAGCACAAGGGGACAAGCACCTGGTCTCTAGAGCACCCCCCACTGGAAGCCCCATCCCTCTGCGTGGGAGGGAGGAGCCCTCACCCCATGTCTGCCCTGCAAATGCTGCGCCTTTAACTCACCAACAGGCAGCATCTGAGAGTCACTCTTGGACAGCCCAGCATAACTGTTAACATTTTTATCTCCCATATTGTTTCTTTCTTGTTTTTGCTTCTCCACCTTTTTCAGGCCCTAACACACTCTGGCCCAATTACCTTCACGTCCAACTGCCCAAAAGCATCCGACTTAATCCTCTCTCAGTCCCATATGGATTCATGGAACTGTTTCCCTAGATTACGTCCCATCTGTCAAAGAAATCGCAGATGAGCTTGCCACATACCCACTTAAAACATTTGCATGTCAAAAATAGTTAAGACTGTAATGAAGACTAAGTAAAACCATGGAATTGCCTTTCCCCATGGTCATGGTGTCCCAATTTCCCTCTTCTATTCTCTGCTCCGGGACATGGGGACTGAGACCGTGCAAATTACATTTATTTCCCAGACTCCTTTGCTGCGGGGCTTCAGTTAGGTTATGCCAAATGACAGGCACCAGCGGGGAGCATGGGGCTGGAGGACAAAGGAAATACCCTCCTTCCTCAGGTTTGGTCCTGTTGCCACTGCCACAGCACTGGCAGCTAGCCTGTGTCCACCGTCTCATGGCGCTCCACACCGACATGCTCACGGCTGCCAAAAAATCTCTTCTCAGAGCCGCAGAGACAGCACCCACAGCTGGGAAGGTGGCCTCCTCCGAGAGCCCTCCCACCCCCGGTGGCGCGGAGGGCTGGATGCTGCCGCCCGCAGCTCTCTCCAGGTCTCCTGTGCGTGAGGTCTGAGCCCTCAACGCCTGCGGAACAAATCCCGACCCAAACCCCTTTGTTCTGCTGCTCCGACGGCCATGACGTCATCCTACAATCCGTAGGACGCGTGGCTGTCGTAGCCTCCCGGGCAAGTGGGCAAGGAGCAATGCAGACTGCTGTCACCGCTCACGGCGGGCAGACCTGCGGAGGTGCCAGACGTGTCCGGATGGACCCTGGGCAACCTAAAACGATAATGTGTAAGGCACAGTCTGCAAGACAGGCTCGACGCTAAACGTCAATGAGACCTATAGTTCACTTTCTATTTCTTACAGAACATGAATAAACCACATGTCAGTTCTCCCCAGACCTCGATAATTCTAAGTGGAAATAGCACAGACATATTTGATCATAAAACAATGTAAATGAAATTTAACTACCAATGATAATTAAAATAAGCATAAAATAATTAAAGAACATTCTTAATCCCTAGAAAGGCAATGAAAAAGAAAGTATTCCTAATAGTGCATTGCTGATTAGATAAGCTAATGTTACTTCTGCCTAATAGGTAGGATTATTAGGTAAGAAGATGTAAACTATAAAATGTTATTCCCCTAAATGAATAAGTCTGACAATGACTGTGTTCTGCAGTGTATCTGCTTAAACAAAATCTCTGCATTTCCCTCTCCTGGACTAATGACACATCACCGCACCCACTACCCACACTCACAAACACAATATTATTTTAGGGACAAACAGGGGCGGAGCAAGGAACTCATGAAGACTGAACATGAACTTAAAAGAGACTGGAATACAAAAGCGACTGTTTTAACAATAAAAGATCAAGATGTAAGATGCATTTTCCTTCTACACATGAATACATTTGCCTTGCTAAAAATACGCCTTAAAACATCTACCAGCATGATGCATAATGAAGAAATAAAAGAAGCTGGTTCTAAAATAAGAATTTCCTATTAGCTTCCATTATTCAAAGTTCTAGGAATTCTTGTCCCCAAAATTAGTCAACAGGGAGTAAGAATAAATAAATAATAAAGTTAAAATGTGAGGAATTCACTGGTGTTTGACAATGTTATTTTTTGACAAGGAGAAAACAGCGCTGAAACCCTTTATGAAGCTGCTATGGGGTGGCAGCTTCGGATGCCAGTCCCCAGACTCCCACCTCCTGGCCCTCTGGACCTGCCCACCCTCTTACCTGGAGCGTAGGGCTGGCCCAGCGGCTTGCTCCTTATGAACAGAATAGGGCCACAGTGATGAGCTCTCCCTGACCTGGGGCTGGGTTTCAGGACACTGAGCTTTCCCTTGTTGGCCTGAAACAGCCAGCCAGCTGCCCTGAGGTGCCCTTTGCTCCATGGTAAGGAGCTGATCATGTCCCACACCTGGGAGGTGACTGAATCCTACCCAGAACCATGCAAGTGCATCGGGGTGCCTGACCTCCAGGAACTAGGAGATAATAAAAGTGGTTTTAAGCCAACAAAATGCAACAAAAAAGTTGTTATGTTTGGGGGTAATTCACTGTGCAGCCATTGGTAACAATATACAGATAGAATCAAAGAAGGTAATTAATTTAAACTTAACATTGAAAATCAAACCAATACCAGCCAGAACCCATGACATAAACTAGTTAGAAGATGCAGGAAGAAGGGGGTGATGGTGGAGGGGTTAGTTCTAGCATTCAGCAAAGTAGATTTCATCCTGATAGTGCAATTTAAGTTAAGGCAGAGTACAATTAGCTACACTGGGAAAAGTGTTGTAAAATGCATAGCTATGATTAAATTTCATCAGTAGAATTCCAAGAAGTTCGTTTTTTCCTCCTTTTATGTGTTTTCTACATTTTTTGTACTCTCAGGTTTTCATTAAAATGCAAACATTTATAAAAATAATAAAAATCTACTTTGGAAGTCCATAAAGTCTAAAGAGAGGTTTCTACCTCACAGTGGTGCTAAAGGATGAATTAACTACCGACCTTTTTGTGGAGCTCTTCCTGACATCCTCATTGTCCCTTCCCCATGGCTACCCCTTTGGCAGGAAGAACCACGGTCCCTTTGGGGCTATTGTGTTCTTTACATACAGACATCACTGCGTGCATCCCTTTATCTTTTCATTCCCCGTTATCCCACTTGATGTAGCTGATATGACCTCACTTTACAACCCTGCGTGCCATACAATGAGCTGTAAAGGACGGGCAGTGGTCACGCCAGCATACACTGATTGTAGGACACCCTGATTCCCCGGGAACAGCACCACTGACTTCGCTTTCTCATCCGCTGAGTTCCCAGCACAGTGTGTACTTTTGTGCCTGGAGGTTTCCTGGGGAAGACTGAGCTATTGTCTCTTTGTCAGGCTCTACTAACCAAGAACAAACCACAGGCCCAGGGAATATCATAAAAAGCCAGGGGGCTGCCATGCTCAGAGACTCCAGGCTCTGACCATCTGATGCCTCTCCACTGGCCGGCCAACCATGATTCACTGTGTACTTCTCTCCACTCTCCTTTTTCTGACTCTCTTACCCCCAGGTAAGGAGGTGGTTGGCCGCTGGGGTCTGCGGTTTAGAAGGTTATCCAGCAGGCCAGACAGGCCCCTGGCACTAGTCTATTGGAATCATAAACCTAACATCAAGAGCTTCACCAGGACTATAACAGGGTAAGATAGTTGTCCATACTTTCTGTCTACAATTCCTCACCTGTCATTTTCCCTTAAAAACACCCCCATCAGGCACCTCCCTGGTCCTTTCCCCTGCTCCTGAGCCTGCTTTGTCAACGTCATCAAAAATCGCCACATTGCTAGGCCCAAGGGCCATTTCTCAAGGTGGTCTTCTGCGGCCCATCACCAGCACTTGCACGGGAGGTCATTCTTCCTCTTAACGCACTTTCTTCAGTTGGCTTCCAGGGTAGCACGTCCTTGATCTGCTCCCCTGGAGGCGTGTCCTCCATTGTCTTTGCGCCTTTTCTCCCATCACTCTTTACACTGGGCAGAGCCAGCCTCTGTTCCAGGTCCTCTGCTCCTCTCTCTCTCCATCCAGTCCGTGGGGCTGGTCCCACCCTTTTAAATTGTCCTCCTGGATGTCTCTCTTGAACTCCAGACTTGGAATGAATCTCCAGTGGTGTAACTGACATCTCTAGTGGGATGTTTAATTTCAAAATTAATATATCCAAAAATGAACTTCTGAATTTTTTCCCCACGAACCTCCCCTGTGTCGCTTTCTCCCACCACAGGGTACCAAGGCCAGCATTCTGTGAGGCCTCGCTTGGCCCTTCTGCACTGTCCACACTCAGCAAACTTCATCCGCACCCTAGAAGGTGTCTCTCAGGCCTCCTGGCCCACGACCAGTGTGACATAGTGAGCCCAAACTCAGTGAAAGGCCAGAGTGTTTACAGAATTTCTGTCTTTTGTAGCTGAATAATATTCCAATGTTGCATACATATACTACTTTTTCTTCGTCCATCAACGGATTCAACACCTGTCTTGATGATGGAAAAGTAGGTTGTTTTTATGTCTTCACTATTGCTGCAATGAAAATAAGAATGCAGATATCTGTTGGAGGTAGCGATTTCTTCTCTTGGGTCACAACTTAAAAATTTTTGAGGAATCTCCATATTGTTTTCCACAGTGGCTGTGTCAATTTACCTTTCACCAACAATGCACCAGTACTTGTTAGTTCTTGTGTTTTTGATTATGGCCATTCTGACAGGTGCAAGGTGATAGCTCATTGTGGATTTGATTTGCAGTCGCATGAATATTAGTGATGCTGAACACCTTGCCATGTGCTCGGTGGCTATCTGTATGTCTTCTTTGGAAAAATGTCTATTCAAGTGTTCTGTCCACATTTTAAATGGGTGATTTTTCTGCTATTGACTTACCTGGGTTCCTTACATATCTGGATATTAACCCCTTACCAGATACATGGTTTGCACATCTTTTTCCATTCTGTAGGTTTCTTCTTTCATTTAATTGATAATTTTATTTTCTGTGAAGAAATTTTTAATTTCATGTAGTCTTGGTTATATTTTTTTTATGGTTTGTGCTTTTGGTATCATACTCAAAGATCATTGTCAAGACCAACGTTAAGGAAATTTCTTCCTATGTTTTCTTCCACAATATTTATGGCTTCAGGTCTTACACTGAAACTTTCAATCCACTGCAAGTTGATTTTTGTGAGTGGTGTAAGATAAGGGCCTGGTTCTGCTGTTTTGCCGGTGGATACCCAGTTTTCCCAACACACCATTTATTGAAGAGACTATCCTTTCCTCATTGAGTATTCTTGGCTCTCTTGTCAGACATTAGCTGACCATATACACATAGGTTTATTTTGGGGCTCTCAATGCAGTTTCATCAATCTGTTGTTATAGCAATACCCCACTGTTTTGGTTAATATAGCTTTGGAATATAGTTTGACCTCAGGAAATGGGATGCCTTCACCTTTGTTCTACTTTCTCAAAATTTCCTTGGCTATTTTTTTTTTTTTGGTGGTACCATATGAATTTTAGGAACATTTTCCAATACACTCCATCTACACAGGTCTTTCTGGTCTTCAAATAAACTAAGTCAGAAAAATGAATGTCTCTTTCATTTTCATCATTCAGACCTCACTTCAAAAGCTACATCCTCCTCAGAAAACCTCTCCTGTCCCTTTTATCAACTCCAACATCCAGACCTTTCCTGGTCCATTATCGTATTACTTTGTTCTAAAAACCTGCCACTTTCTAAAATTATCTTATCCATGTATTTTAACATTGTCATAATGAACTAACAAGCAGAACAGTGACAGAGCCACAGACAGAGAGCAGGTTGACAGGCGTTGGGGGGATGTGGGGTGGGAGGAAAAGACTGAGAAAAAAAAAGACTCATGGATGTGGGGATATGGACAACACCGTGCTGATGGCCGGGGAGGGAGGGGTAGGGAGGGATGGGGGCGGTGAGTGGGTGATGGAAGGAGACTTGCCTTGGGGTGATGTTTACAGTTTAGAGATGATGTGTTGTGGAACTGTGCACCTGAAACCATCATGATTGTGTTCATCAGTGTCACCCCAATAAATTGAGTAAAGAGCAAATAAGACAGTGGACACGACAGAGCCCCTAACCAGAGCCTTTGTCCACCGTGTTTTCTCCACATGGGAATGCTTGACCCAGAACTCAACTGCTCTCACACTGAGAGTGGGCTTACTGGTAGACTAATTATCTCCTTGATGCTCTCTTTGTGCAGCGAGAGGTGGTTTGGGTGCTTCTGAAACCACTTGTCTAAATCTGTCGGGCATCTGCAGAAGAGACATCTGCAAAAGAACAGAGGATACAATTGGCGCCTGCCGCAGAAGGTGGAAATGCTGCAGAGCCTGGTGGATACTGCTACCAATCCCCACACCGGTTGTGTATTCGGAATACCAAGCACCTCTTCGTGCTAAAGTGAAATGAAATGAAGAAATTGAAAGCATCCCAAGGAAAATTCTAAACACATTTAGACTATATATCTTGATTTATTCCAGCTTTATTACCAATTCTTATTATTTGTAGACCATTGGTGACCAGTTCTTAGGGGTCAACAAGAATAAACATTATTGAAAAGTCTACCCAGATGCTACCTCTTTGTGACTCATTTTCAGATCCAAACAATGTGTTTAGAAGTGAGAATGCCCATTTATTTAATGATACATTTTTTTATTAAAAATTGTCACAAAAAGACCAAAAGGTTAACAAAAAAGTTACAAAGGTGGAAATATAATGATAGAAAACATAATTAATAGACACACGGAGAAAATGCCCAGGCAAAACACAAAGAAAATCCAGGACATATCAGGAAAGAGAAGAAATGGACATAAAGAAAGGGCAGGAAATTGGAAGAGGGCAAGAGGAATAATTTGAGATAATACACAAAGGTGATGAGTGTATGGCTGATAACCAGAAAGAGACAAAGACCAGAGAGGTTGGAGAACAACAGGAATGTATGTGAGCCCTCAGCTAACAAACGGACACTCATGTGACTCCTATGAAGAAACATTGTGACCACTTAGGTTCCTGATGTTTTACACACTGAGAAACATAATTCCTTCATAAAACTGGACTGTCTTATGAAGCATTTTTTAAAGGATCTTATTAATGTATCTTTAGAGATAGGGGAAGGGAGAGAGAAAGGCAGGGAGAGAAACACTGACACGTGAGAGAAACATCGATCAGTTGCCTCTTATACATGCCCCGACTGGGACAGACCCTGCAGCCCAAGCATGTGCCCTGACTGAGTGTCAAACTGGTAACCTTTGGCTTTGCAGGACGATTTCCAATCAACTGAGCCATGCTGGCCAGGGCACGATATTTATGAACTCTATTTATTTTTTAATTCTCAGTGTGGACATTTTCCACAATAATTTGATGCAGTCTTGACTAGGTTTAGGGAAAAAACTGACCTTTAAACAGAGGATTGAGGCCGTAGGCAAGGAACTAAGTGCATACATAGTGAGAGAGCCTTTTTGGTCTCTCCACTCTCTGGGGGCACCAGGAACTGTTCATGTATCAACACCTTCTTGAGTAAGCTTTGGGGTCTGGGTATTTCAAAAGTGGTGTCTACTTTAGATAAAGTATATTCATTGCTATGAAATATTTAGGAATGCTATTGTCATTATGTTTTATAAGTTTAAAATAAAAATGCTGTAACCTCAAGGGAAAGATCTGTAATAATTGCACCATAGGACATGAGGTCAATGCATACTAGCTGCTGGAAGACATCAAATTGTGAAAGACAACAGCAAGGGAATAAGCAAGGAATAATGGATCTACAGAATCATCAGAGAATGAACAAAATAGCAACAGTTATTTTTAACACACATGGATTAAATTCTGCAATCAAAACATACAGAATGGCTGAATTAATTTAAAAAATAAGACCCAATAATATGCTGCTTGCAAAATATTCACTTCAGATTTAAAGCCACACATAGACATTGTAGTCAAGGAACATGAAAAGATACTTCAAGCAAATGGTGACCAAAATAAACAAGGGTAGCTAGCTATTCTTTCTGTCAGACAAAATAGACTTGAAACTAAAAGTGGTAAAAAGAGATAAAGAAATTCATGATGTAATAATAAAGGGGTCAATCTCTCAAGGAGATATAAAAATTGTAAATATTTAAGTGCCCAACATCAGAGCACATATATACACATATAAAGCAAAACCTAGTAGTGCTAAGGGCAGTAATAAATAGCAATACAGTAGTAGCCTAGCTCTGTAATGCCTCACTCTTAACAATAGATAGAGCATCCAAGATAGAACAGCAATGAGAAAACAACAGATGTGAATAACGCTACAACCAAATGAACCTAACAGACAGATTTAGAACATTCTTTCTGACAACAGCAGGACACCCATTCTTCTCGAGCATGCGTGGAACATTTTCCAGTGTAGGCCACATTTTAGGCCACAGAAAAAAAGTATTAGCTATTGTGAAAAAATTGCAATCATATCAAGTGTTTTCCTCAACCATGGGGGCATGAAACTAGAAATCAACAACAGATGAAAAACTGGAAAACTCCTACATAACAGCCAATGGATCAAGAAGAAATTAGTTAACAAACATCACAATGATGAAAAGTCATCAAAATAGAAGAGATTAAAGTATATATAAGTATTTTATTTAAAAAGTCTGATAGCACAAATGAAAGTTTATAAATAAAAAAAGAATTTATATACATGTGTGCCATTAAGCCACTGAAGAGTAGAAAAAATAGCATTAATGACTTGGTTTGAAGTTGATTGATTCTAGGTCAAAGGCATTTCTTTAGCTTTCAACACTCTGTTTTTATATGTTGCAGTATGTTGGGAGGCTAGGGAGCCTCTTCAAGTTGTAGACACGGGGTCTTTTAAAAAATTTCTATTTTTCAATTACAGTTGACTAGCCTTACAGTCTTTGGACAATGGACGGCTGCTGAGAAACACTGTGTGTGCTCTGTATCCCCGATACTCTATAACTCTCCTCATCTCACCACCCTTGCCATGTGGGGCGGTCACTCGAAGGATGGATACAGATAAAACAATGTTAGTTTTCATGTGAACTCAGTGTGTTTACCTTTCAGATGCTATTGAGAACATTGTACGTATGGGACATTAGCCTCTCCTTTAAGGAATAATTTTAAAATAAAACTTCATTTAAAAAAAATGGCCCTTGGGTAATTCTCTTAACCCTGTTGGGGAAGGGAGTGTGCTGTGCAGGAGTTCCCTTCGAGTCATAGGGCTTTTGGTAAGAACTTCACCCTCACAACCCCACTTCCTGGCCCCCTTCAAAAAGTGACTGGCCCAAGGCACTGACCTCTGGGGAATTTGAGAGGCCATAGAAAAAGTGAAAGGTTGGCTATCAGGTTTCCTGTAATTAGGTTAATTTGTCACCAACTGTAGAGACTCCACGGTTTGGAGATATTCCAACGGAAGCTGTTTTGTTTTCTTACTTGTTAAGCTTCACTGACCAAAAAGAACCCCGGCTCTCAGGAAATTAATAAAAGGCCCTGAGTGTCACTGTCCCTGGTCGCTTACCTCTCTTCTGGGCAATCAACCATGAGACTCCAGTCCCTGATTCCTGTGTTCCTCTTCTTTGTGGCTATAATGCCAAAAGGTAAGATGGTGAGTAATTCTGGAGCTAGGCTTCTTAGGAGACCTGTGGATATGCTCGATTCCACCATGGCCCTCTGAACTTGGACCCTAATGCACAGCCTGTAGGAATCCAGAATTCTAACATGCTCGTCTCTTTTGGGACTTAGGAGGACAACACTGCAAAGCAGGACAAAGATTTCCATCCACAGAAAATGAGATCTGAGAGCTCCATGATTAGAAAATGCAGCCCAAGTACAGGGAGAGATAAAGAAGCTTTGACACATAACGTAAGAATCAGTATACAAATCAAGGAGCTGTTACCAGGGTCCTCATCTCTCAAAGGGAGAGTGAAAATGGCAGCTAGTGGTTGGGGCTTGGTTAGTGAGTGGCAGACACAGAGTCTATTGATGAAGAATATTTGTGAAGGGTAGAAATTAGGTGCACAAGGCAGAGGTCAACAAAAAGAGGGTTGTGTCACATGATAAAAAACCAATACGGAGTAGGGGAATTTCAAAAAGCATACACAGAGGGATAAATCTTCTTCCATCACCAAATTTTAAATAAAAGACAAAATACGAAAGAAGCATTTTAAGAATCTGAGTTATATCCTGAGGACCCATGATTCAGAAGCTTGAATATAAACATGTAAAATTGGAACACAAAGGGAATGTGGTCACCTTGAAGCTGGTTCATCCAGATTCTTGTAAGAACTGACGAAGTTTTTTCTCCCCTGGGATGTTCAGATCCCTGGATATAATGTCTACAGCCACTGAACATAGATATAGTCTGGATAACTCTCTCTTCCTTGGTTCATCTCTAAGATTCCCTTACCTGCAATCAAAGATGCTCATTTGTTTAATCTTTGCCTAATCCATGGATATCTAGGGATTCACCAGACTTACAATGTTCTCCTCCTGGAGGAGTTGATGTAATTCTCATTTGGTTCTCAATTCTGCCACTTATAGGGACACCAGTGTAAAGTTACATGATGTTAATGTCTTAAAATTAGATAGCACTTTAATGGCCAACACTTTAACTTTACAGATAAGAGAATTCTTGTCCACATACAGAGTATGATTTTGTTTGGGTCACAGAGGTAGCAGCCACAGTGCACCTAGGACTAAGGATCTTCCTCCTGGGCCAGCGTTTCCATTAATCCACAGTTGTGGGTGCGCCCATGAAGTGGTGATCCTGACTTCCCTCAGGCCTTCACCTCAGGCTCCTCGTTGGATATTGAGGAACTTAGGGGACTTTCAGGCTTCCTCTTCTGAAAGATACAATATCTTCGGGACATCTCACTTTACTTTCCTCCAAATTTCTCTCCTTTGGGGTTGAAGGTGGGCAAGTTGAATCAGCCTAACATTCTGACATTATTCTTGGACTATTTATGCCATTCCTTAAATTTTCCTGATCTGTGGGCCTTAAAATCAGATAATTTCAGACCAATTTTCAGGTGAAAGCCCTTGCCCTAGGATAGCTAGGTCAGCATGACCGATGAGCGAATGTTTTTGCTCCTGCTGGCACTCTACCATCTAAGCTAAATTCAGCTCAACACCCAAAATCACAGCCCATGTTATGAGTCTGGTCTTTTTTGAAGGTTAAGGAGGGTTAGATCTCTTGAAAGAAGTCAAGGTCTAGCCACAATCCACCATTATAGCAGGAAAAGGTTACAACACTGGTTCAGTCTTAGGGTGGGAAGAAAACTGAGACAAATAGGTTGTTCTAGAGCAAAGGCCAGAAATAATGAGTGGGGAGATAGGATTCTGCGAAGTGTAGGCCAAAGATTTAAGAAACTAATATGGTCATGACAAGACTGGATACCCACAAGTAGAATAGTCCA